TTTTTTGCCTTCTCTTCTTTTGTCTCCCCATCAGATCGTTTGGCAGATGCACTACTCGCAATTTTTTCCTCCCTCAGAGTCTCTTTTTCCAGTTTCTTGGATTTTTCTTTTCTCTCCAAGTCTTTTTCATCTTTTTCAGGCTTCTTAAGTAGCTACAAAGAAAACAGAAGTCTCAACTAAAAAGCTCACTCTAATACATATTGTCTGGCACAACACCGAAATTGCATCAAAGGAACCACAGTCCAGTGAGAAGTGAACATTAAGGAAATATTACTGCAAATAGCAGCATTTCTAAAAGCTGGAGTGTATGAGTAAGCATTATTCACACAGCAAACTAGGATTTTTCTCCTAAACCAGGCCATTTTAGAAAGCTTAAAAATAGTCTCCATTCCATAGTGAATTCACAATCCTGTTTACCACGGCATGTACAACAGTCACATGACAAAAAGTTTAAATATTACTATGAAGCATTACAGCATGTAAACCTTTACATTGCCTACTATTGAATATTACAAAAAATTGGTAATTTACTAACACCAAACTCATGTGATTTTTCACACAATACTCAAAGCACATTTTGAGACTGATATACAAATAATAGGGGAAAGGGAGTGTAACAGTTTATAATAAAGAACTGTTCTAGACCTTAATCTTTGGTTCTTCTTTTGATCTGTCTCTTTCTTTTTCTGGGCATCTGTCTACTTTCTTCAATTTTTCTGCTTCTTTTCTCTTCCTTCTCTCCTCCTCTTTCCATTTTCTTCTCTCTTCTTCTCTTTGTCTTTTTCTTTCCAATTCTCTCCTCCTCCTCTCCTCTCTTTTTTCTTCTCTCAGTCTCTGTGTGTGTAAAAGCAAAGAGAAATAGTGTATCTCCAAACCAGAAAACATCTCTTTAAGCCATCAAATAACTCACCTCAAAGCTGCCTCTACTATAAAAGAAAAAAAAAAATCCTGTCACCTCTACTGTTGTTGTGAACCTGAACATGTTGCAGCAGTATTTTTTTCTTACTCATAACCCTTGATTTGTACTGTCTTAAAAAGCCCAACCACAACACTGGCCTCAGCCTTTATCATTCTAATTTTCATTTAATCTGCCCCACCTCTGATTTTCTCCATTGCTAAAAGTTAAAATAACATTATGTGCTAGGAGAAAGATCATCCACAAGGACCTCAGCTGTAAGTGCACTAAAAATGGAAGCATTAAAATGGAATCTGTTTTGGCAGTGCCACAAGAGACAATTTGTTGGGACCAGAATGTACACAAAGCACCACCATTCCTACAAGGACCAACATTCTAGTACTTTAAAATATGTGAACCAGGTGTTGACAAGTGAGTTGGGTCAAAAGGTCCTTCTTCAAAAGGAAGGGCAGAAACATATCAGTACACATATTGCAATATCTACAATCATGCTTTAAATGAGCAAATTGTACTTGCAAACAAGAAGATTCTGGAGGTAGGTCTTACCTGTTTGTTTTTCAAGAAGTTCAATAAAGGAGTAGTCTTTTTAGCTAGAGAATATACAAAACAAATGTAAACAATTTGCCTTACCCAATACTGCAATACAACAAAACCCTGTATAAAGTGAAGCATCCTTACAGATTCCCCTGCCTGTCTCCTCTCATGTACAGCAATACTTTGAAACAAGTATTCCAAACCTATCTCTGAACAGTGACAACTACTAGGATTCTACAAACTTCTTCAGGACACTAATATGATACCCAGTACACCTCTGTGTACAGGGATACTCAGTCTGCACTAGGCTTTTCCCAGACTCTCTTGGTTTTAAAGATATTCCTGGAACATGCTTAAAAAGAGTAACCTCGTCATTTTTTGTGGTATTTTACCCAATCACATTCTCTTTTAACTTGTGCCTGCGTGGAACATCACCACTCACAGCACTGTGCACTAAACATCACTGCATCCACTGAAATGTAGCCACTCCACAGCCTGGTCTGGCTAACAAACATCTGACCAGCAGCTGGCAACAGGAAGGAACTTTCTCACCTAAAACTTAAACCTAGAGAAGAATTTAGAGGATGGGAACAAAACAAAATATACACTGAATAATATTAGCCTAAAGGTTTACAAATACTAAGCAGGCACACAAAAGAATTCAGTCTCCTCCAGGTTGAGAAATCACAGCTTCAAATTACAAACCACGTTTCTTTGTGCTCTAGGAAAATATAACTATAGTACACAGATTTCCATACCTATTAGCTCTTTGTTTCTTGCCTCTATTTCCTCCAACAAAGTTTCAGGAGTGGAGGTTAATTTTTCATCATCTGCACTGTAACTTTCCAAAAACTTCTTGTATTCTGGATCTACAGGGAAGGGGAAAAGGAAGAGGAGGGGGAAAAAAAAGGGGAAAAGAAAAAAGAGATATATTGGAGCATGAAAAGCATTTGCATTATGCACTGCTGGAAGTCTGGGTAGGATTTACATAAGCTGGGTCATTTATATGCCATCTTTTCATAAGTTGGCAGCTCTCAAATGAGCTGCTGCATTATGTTTGTCTGGGACAACCATTTAATAGACTTGCACCTCACAAAGCAGTGCCAATAAGCAAACATCCCATTGACGGAATTACAGTGTAACAGTAAAAACATATTCAAATTACTGCTAAGATTTTCAATCTACACATGCAAAACAAACTATCTTGCTGTTATACCATCTTCGATAGTTCCAGTTTTGGCATCCTTTTTCTTACTCTTCTTTTTTGCAGCTTTTTGGAAAGGTGCAAACTCAACTATGGCAGCATACTCCTGACCTGTTAAGAGGAGAGGTAAAAATACATTAAAATAGAGATGAAGCAGATATAAAATAGACCATATTGTCCATATCTAAAGCAGGAAGATAAGCCTCACAAGAAACATGCAATACTAGAAGAGATTATTTAGACAGCATAAAAAAATCCTTCCATTTTGAAAGCAATTTAATAAAAAAACCACCCTAGAGACAGCAGAATTCATGAATTTCTAACCCTCCCAAATAAAGAAGAATCTTATGGACAGAGCTTTGTCACATAGAACACCTGTCTAGATGAATTGTAAAACACATGCTCTTGAATCAAAGCTCCAGGTAAGACCCTTTCACTGCCCAAGCCAACAGGAACTTTTAGTGCTGCCCAGTGTAAGCACTTCTGAAAGGCAAAATTTAAACCCATGAAACCTAACATGTTTAGAAAACAGGTAAGTGGTGACTAAATATTCGAATTTTTAACCAGTTAATTAAACCAAATATGTTTCCTACAGATTACTGTCTCCAGAGCAGTCACTTTAACAACTTAATCTGCAAAAAAGCAGCTGTTCCTTTTACTGAATCAAGATGACTCACTCAGTTGTAAACTGAAACAAGTGACAATTTCAGGTAAAAACTGACCAAAAGATAAGTGACACTGTTGGAAGTGCACAGAACAGGTGAGGGGAGCAGCAGAGGGTGACATCAGTAACCTCAGCTTCATTTGTTTGTACACTGACAGCATGTACCTGCTTTCACTTTACAGACTTGATACTCAGGTATGACAGTGCAAACATTCACCTCAATATCAGGATTTATATCAACACCACTGCTGCCTTGTATACACCCATCTGGATTTTACACATCATATACAAAATCCATTAAAAATACATCTATAAAAAAAGTCAATTTAAACTAGTTTCCACAAAGCATATGGAGTTTTCTTTGTTCTGTGAAATACTGCATAACATGCACTTAAGGCACTTAACCCGAACAAGCCAGAATTGGCTGCTCACCCCCACCCCTCCAACACTCAACCAGCACACGGCACAGACAGCGGGAAAGCAGCAACACGCACTGAGTGCCATTCACTCACCTTTGTGATCGACGAAAACATAGCCGTCGAAGCGATCCCTGAAGAGGACTATGTCTTCCTGGTTCTTGAAGTTGATGTAGGCTCTGGAGAACATGTGCGGGTACAGGCTGCGGAGACACAAACCGAGGGCGCTCGGCTGACGGGGCGGCGGCGCCACCGGGGCCCGGGGGGCGGCAGCGGCGGCTCCCGGGAGCGCCCGGGCGGGGCCCGCGGCCGTACCTGGAGTCGTTGGCGAAGAACTCGAAGTAGTCGTGCTCGGGCAGGGGCTGCAGGTGCTCCTCCAGCTGCTCCTTCGTCAGGCTGGGCGGGAGCCGCCGAATCACCACCTGTGGCACGGCAGGACCGGCGGTCAGAGGGCGGCAGTGCCGGGGACAGGGCGGTACCGCGGCCCTCCCGTCTCGGGCGGCCCCGTTCTCCCCCACCCCCGGCCCCCGCAGGCGGCCCCGTTACCGGAAGAAGGCCCCGTTACCGGGTGGGGGGGCCCGTTCCTGAAGGGGTGGTTCCTGCTACCGCGATAGGGCCTGGTGCCGGGGGCTGCCCGGTCCTGGGGTGCCCCGTTCCCGGGGGGTGCCCGTTCCCGGGGGGTGCCCGTTCCCTGGGGGTGCCCGTTCTCGGGGGGTGCCCGTTCCCGGGGGGTGCCCGTTCCCGAGCGCCGCGCGGGCCCCACCTTGCTGAGCGTCTCCTTCTTGTCCTTGGGCCGCTCCAGGCGGTCGATCTCGGCCGCGCCGGCCCTGCCCTCCGTGCCGGTGGCGGGGCCCGGCCCCGCGCCCAGCACAGTCCCCGGCCCGGCGGCGGCCCCGCGCCGCTCCTTGGGCCTGGCGTTCTCCTTGTCCTCCTTCATCCCGGCCCCGCTCCGGATCCCGATCCCGGACCAGGGCAGCGCCGCGCGCCCCCGCGCGCCCATTGGCCGCCGACTCTCGCGAGACTACGCCTGAAACGGGCCGAGGGCTCCGCCGGACTACAACTCCCGGCGTGCACCGCGCCCGGCACCGCCAGTCCCGGCGGTGTCAGCGCCCGGCACCGGGTGCGGGATTGGGATTAGGATTGGGATCAGGATTGGGATCAGGCGGGCTGGGGCGCGGGCACGACCTCGGCCTCGTTCCTTGCCGAGGGCCGGTCTCCCGCAAGCACTGTCGCTCCCGCCGCCCCTCCGGCCCGCCGGGCTGTGACGGGCGCGGGGCAGGCCGGGAAGGGCGCGGGGCAGGCCGGGAGTGCCCCGGGAGCGTCCCGGGAGCGGCGCAGCGGGACCGGCAACGGGACCGGTAGCGACACCGGCAGGATGTGGTACGAGATCTTGCCCGGCATGGCCATCATGGGCGTCTGCCTCAGCATCCCCGGCCTCTCCACCATGTTCATTAACCGCTTGAACAACGGCGGCAAGGTCAGCGCGGGGCGGGACCCGCGGCCCCGCGGCTCCGCTTCCCCCCGAGACCGCCCTTACCCCTCAGCCCCCTGCATCCTTCTGGGATCCCTTCCTTCCCGGGGCTCCCGTTTCCCCCATCCCTGGGACCCCATACCGGCGAACCCGGCGGGGCCCCTGCCCGGGGCCGTAACAGGCATCGCTGTGCCCACAGGAGAAGAGGATCGCCCGCTTCCCCTTCCAGTGGACCCTGATGGAAAGGGATCGGCGGATCTCGGGTGTCAACAAGTACTACGTGTCCAAGGCAGGTTTTTGGGGCATGGGCAGGTACCGCCGGGGGGGAGGAGGCGGGAGCCAGGCGCTGCTCCTCCATCCCCGAGCTCTGGGATGGGGTTCCCGCGGCCGCACTGGTCGGTCCCGGGGCTGTCGGGCTCCGTGCCCGCAGCTGATCTGCCTCTGGGGCAGTGCATTTTAATTGTGTTTTAACTAGGACTTGGGTAATTAGGTGTAGTTTGAAAACCGGCGTTTTCAGCTATGCCCTGTTGCACATTAGTGGCAAGAATGATGCAGATATAGCTGTTATTTTTTTCTTTTTAGGGTCTGGAGAATATAGACAAAGGTGGCAGCACTTTGAAGAATCCACGTATCTATTGAGAATGATTGAACTCCTAAATAAAGATATATGAGTGTTCAGCCCTTGTATCTGTGTTGCTGTGGTGGGGTGACCAGGGCTGGACACCAGATGCTCACCAAAGCTGCTCTGTCACTCCCCTTCTCAGCTGGACAGGGGAGAGAAAACATAATGAAAGGCTCATGGGTGGAAATAAGGACTGGGAGAGATCACTCAGCAATTACTATCAAGGGCAAATGAGACTCAACTCGGGGAAATTAATCTATTGTCAATCAAATAAGAGCAGGATAATGATAAATAAAACCAAACGATGAAACATCTTCCTTCCACCCCTATCCTCTTCCTGGGTTCAACTTCACTCCCAATTTTCTCTACCTCATGCCCCTGAGCTGTGCAGGGTGACAGGGAATGGGGGCCGTGGTGAATGTCATCACATGGTGTCTCTGCTGCTCCTTCTTCCTCGGGGGAACACTCCTCACACTCTTCCCCTGCTCCAGCCTGGAGTCCTGTCCATGGGAGACAGTCCTCCACAAACTTCTCCACTGTGAGTCCTGCCCATAAGCTGCACTTCTTCACAAACTGCTCAGTGTGGGTCCCTCCCACAGGGTGCAGTCCTTCTGGAACAGGCTGCTCCAGCGTGGATCCCCTGCTGGGGCACAAGGCCTGCCAGCAAACCTGCTCCAGCGTGGGCTTCTCTCTCCATGGGCTCACAGGTCCTGCCAGGAGCCTGCTCCAGTCTGTACTTCCCATGGGGCCACAGCCTCCTTTGGACTTCCACCTGCTCTGGCATGGGTCCTCCATGGGTTGCAGGTGGATCTCTGCTCCCCTGTGGATCTCCATGGGTTGCAGGTGGATCTCTGCTCCCCTGTGGATCTCCATGGGCTGCAGCAAAATCTCTGCTTCAGCTTCTGGAGCATCTCTTCCCCCTCCTTCTTCACTGACCTGGGTGTCTGCAGAGCTGTTCCTCCCACATATCCTCACTCCTCTCCAGCTGCAGTCTTGAAACTGCAAGTTTTTTTCCCCCTTCTTAAATCTGTTATCTCAGAGGTGTGTATGAGCTGCATAAGTCGCATAAAAGCTTTGGACAGAACTGGTTTCCTCACTTTATGTGCTCTGATATGCACCAGGCAGCCGTCTGTGAGAGGAGGAAAAGGAATGCCAGAAAGACTGATTCTGTTTTCGCACCCACTTCTGACATGCAGTTCCCTGCTGCTGACTGCAGCAGCCTGCATGAATAGCCAGTGCCACCTCCTGCAGCTTGGATTCTTGCCTCCCAGCATAGCACTAGTCAGCAGTCTCAACTTACAATAAAGCCAAAACTTGCCTCTGCTACATCCTGAACCTGCTATAACGATGCCTGTCACTTATCTCCTTGTGGCAGTCAGAGTGAAACGCAGATTTTGTGTCACTGCCACCAACATTGATCCCCTGTGAGACATGGGGCGTGGAATGACCACAACCAACGTGGAGGGAACAAGGTGCAGAGTCACATGGATCAGACAAATTTCTGAGAAATGTCCAGGCTTGTATTAATGCTCTCTCAGCTGGACAGGAAGCATCTATGAGACCACAAGGACTAGGACCTACACTTTGCTCATTATTGATCTAGCAGCTGAATCCATATAGCAGCCTTTTGCCATTCTGGAAGAGCAGCTGCTGTGAATTCAGCACACTGTGATACGCTAAAACATTTCTGGCCTCTCTCTGTTGGTCCTTTCCCTCAGAAGGGCTGGGAGACTACAGCCCTCTGTGTGCCAGGCTGGACTGAGACTCTGCCCAGACAGCACAGAGCGGATGCTGCTTTAGTTCCTCCATTGCCGAGACCGGCAGAAACATGACAAACAGAGAATCTGGCAGGATCCCACAGCTGCTTTCCTGGCCATACTGCCTTCCTTTTCCGGAACGCTGTGGCTGCCGGGGACGCATTTCCCCGGGGTCGGTGTATCCGCAGGGAATGCCGACTGGGATGCCGGGAGACGGCCCCGCCTCTCCATGGTGACGCGAGAACGCTGCCGTGGCCGGGGAGCCGGGACAGCGGCAGGGACACCGCCGGGGCCCGGGAGCAGCTCCTCGGGGCTGGACACCTTCCCTGGAATAAAAAAACCCCGGGACCCTCCGTCCGTCCGGGGCAGCCCTGAGGGAGGTGAGCGGGGGCGAGGGGCGAGCGAGGGATTGGCCAGTGCTCTCCATGTTCCTCTGATGGGTCCTGCAGCTCTCGGGCCGGCTGTGTCTCACTGTGTTTGTGCTTTTCTTTCTCTAAAGGTGAAGCCAATGGACAAGAAAGAGGACAAAGATCACACACCCCCAGACAATGAGAGAAGCAGTACAGAGGACTGTCTGAAGAAAAAGGAAAAAGGTATTGTGTTTGCTCTATTAGCATGTGTTGTTTTGTTGTTTTGTTGGGTTTTTTTGGGTTTTTTCCGGTTTTTTTTTTCCAGGAGGATTTGTCAGCATTTTATTTGCTTTAGAAGCCAAACGTGTTATCAAAACTATCCAGTGGACCACAGGCAACAACTTCACAGTGGAGAGAGGGCGACAGCAGATTGAAGAGCTCATTTCTGTGAGTGACAATTCCATCCACTCGGGAAGGTCACACCTTCTCACTGTTAAGAAGTGTGAAAAATTTAAGGACAGCACCTCTGGTTCCTTTTTAGCACTGCCCTCAAGTCACCTCTACTGGACAGAGGGAGTCTTAGTGTGATGCCTTTGTTCGACAGACATGGGACATTCATGAAAGCTGGCTTCACCACTCAGAATTTCTTGAGGAAGAAGAACTGAAGGACAGCAAGAGGTACCATTACAGAGCTTGCTGGGGCATCCCAACACGCAGAAAACCCATCCCACGAGCAACAGCAAGTGTCTACTTTGTTATAGTGATCTCCAAACTCAAACCTGACGTAAGTACTCAGAAATGCCACACAGCAGTCCTTAAAGGGAAAAGAGCACAGGGATTCCTGAGGCAGTCAAAACCAGCACAACAGCCCATAGCTGGTCAGAAATCTTACATCATCCCACACGCTTAAAATTGTAACTTATGAGGCTTTACCTTTAAGAGGCTTTAAGAAAATACTCAGAGAGGCTTTAAACTAAGACTATTCTAATCTGTATCAGAAACGTTGTACAAATATCCAGGTTATTTTTGAAGACATAGATAGTAGCTCTTACCTAACTACAATGTCTGCTCTTTGAGGGGCTGTACATGACCTCTGCCCTGTCTCTGCTCTCTTGCAGACCTCGCCTGTGGAGGTTTTCTTCAGACTGGAGTCCAGCAGGCTGATTCGCAGGTAAATGTCATTACTCTTCTGTCACTGACACAACTCAGGAGGTTCTAGCAAGCTTTTCCATGCCAAAACCAAAGAAGGAGCTCCACGTAAATAAGTTTGCAGTCACATCAGGGAGGTGGAAGAAGCTGTCAAAATTTTGCTACACAAAATGAAATGACCTTGCTTATTATTAGCTTCACTACCCCACAAGCATGGATAGCCACCCCATGGGCATCTGCCTTCTTGAGGAAGAATATGTCCTGCTTAACCAGGTCTAGGCATGGTCTTTATTGCAGCAGATAGGCTTGCCTGGTGAATTAAGGCCAGCTCTGAGCTGGCCAAACTTGGATTCAATATTATTCTTACAATTTGCCCTCTTTTTATTCCATCCTCCAGGCCAGAAGAGTGTCAGTTTAGAGAAAAGTGGCTTCAGGACATTATTCAAAATAAAATAATCCTCATAGAAAGACTTAGTTCCCAATGAGCAGCTCCAATTCACCATCACCAGTGCTCCGTTTTGGAGAACCAAATAAACACAGTGAAGAAAGAAAGGCTCTTCCTTAGCAGCATTTCTGCTTTGTGGATACATAGAAAACATTGAACCTGTGCCAAATCAACGATGCCCTGACATGGCAGTTGGCTTCATGGGACGGCTGCTGGCAGGTATGGGTGGGTACACCAGGATGGAACCAGGTTCCAGAGTGTAAATGGGAAGAGACAGCTGGGAGGGATTTGCTGGTCTGTGGAACTATAGGGAAAACATTATAGGACTTTAGGACTTTTATCTTCTTTGCACCAATATACGAGACATCTCTGCTGCCCAACTTAGGGGAACAAAAAAAAATAAAAAAAGGATTTAGGGGAACAAAAGCCCTCTCAAAAACACTTTCTTTTTCTCAAGTGTTTTTAAAAACAAGTTCAAAGTGGATATGTTTGGAAATATGTGGTTGAATCAAAGGTAACCACCACATAAGCACTGCTTGAGCAAGGCCTCCAAGTACAGAGCTTAAAGCAAACCACTTGGTCTGCTGAAACAGACCAAATTAAAACACTACCGGAGTTAAAATAAGGTTTTAATCTAGAACACTTTCATAAACATAAACATTTCAAATAAATTGAAAGACACATCCTTGTTGCCACTGTGTACATCCAGGGGTTCCAATCACTGCACCCCACTGCTCTAATGCCTATGTATAACATAGGAGAAAAAGAAGCAAGCAACTTTGTTCTTCACCACAGATTTCAGTGAAGAGCGGACCCTCCTATTATACTGTTACTTTACACCCCAATTGCAATCTGCTTGCTTTAAAGTAACTGAAGCCCATCTGTATTAAATTACAAACTCATTTACAGAATATTTACAAGTCTAGTTTGAACCACAAACCAAACTTCACTGTTTTGAGAAAAACCTAAATCTAAAAAGACTTCTGAAGAAATAGTGGACAGTCCTAGATCTTAAACAGGAACTCAGGAGTTCCTTCATTTTTGCTGCTGTTAGTAGTAGCTTGTTTGCTGTCTTTTCCAAGCTAAATGAGTCTATGAAAAATCAAAATAAATGGAATTAAAAAAATGACACATTGGTATTATGTAACAAAGCCCTTCCCACGGGATCCTCCAGCTTGTCTGATTCAAAGCAAGCACAGAACATTTGACACCTCTAATCTTCCCTGTCTGTTCCTGCCTTCTAGCCTTTCACTTTACAGGGATTCCTTGTAGATGGTGAACAAATCACCCTAGAGAATCTGATGAAAGTAACTCTGTTTTCTTGACAGAAGTAATCCACTCCTGGGGCCCAGCCCTGTTGGGTGAAAGGCGCTGCAGCACCTGCAGCATTTTTCAAATCACGACTGGAACAGGTCAGCTGCTGCGTGGTACAATCCGTGCTGCACAGCTCAAACAAAGCATTATTTCTCCTCTTTGCCCTTAGTCTTTCTGTAGACCATCTCTCGAAAGCTTGCGAGGATCTTGTTCTCTCGTTTCCTCCTCTCCTCTTGGTTGAAGGAGGCCAGGGCTCTCTTCTCGTCTGCGCTGTAGATCTGGTTCTCCTTGCGCAGACGCACGGCTTCCATGCGCCGGTGTCTGTGGAGGGGGACATGGTGTGTGTCATCATGGGCAGACTGCCCCGGTACAGCTTCCATCCATCAACTGGCCTGAATGTTTTCAGGGGCTTTAAATAAAGATACCTGCACTACAAAGTCCGAACTTGCACACACAAACCTTCCCAAGAAGGAGTGTGGCAGAGCAAGGAACTGACTTCTGGGTGTGTCTGCTCTCAGGCAGTCCCAGAAGTCCCACCTACCCCCAGGGTGTCAGCTGCTGGCTCACCAAAATTTAAGTGAAATTCCTGGAGGACTCATAGAGCAAAAAGTGCAGCCAACCTCTCACACTTTGATTTGTCTCCTACTGGCCAGCACATCACCAGGGCTGTCCAAACACACCACCTGGCACAAGCATCTCCTCATTTGAAATAAAGATAATTAGAAGTATATTGCCTGGAAAGAAGTTTTGCTCTTGAGGAGAAAGCATCCTTGAAAACCTCACCATCTGTCTACAGCAATAGGGAGTTTGGTGTAGATTATTGCAAGCATGCAGAGCACCTTCTCCACACTTTCAACTAGAGCTTGGAAGCAGTCTTCCACTCAGCCAACAGAGAAAGCAGCTCTTGAAAACGTCACTGAACCACTGCCATCATCAAAACCATACCTGCTGCCACTCATGACGTAACCAGAGCTCTCAAACGATGCAATCTCTTCACTGGTTAAACCGATCTCGCCTCTCCGGGGAATACGTTTTCCCGCTTTTACATACTCTGCCATTGCTGCACCTTCACCCGGCAGGAGGGCGTGTCCATAGCTAAAAATAAAGGGAGGATTGCAGTCTCAAATACAGAGAGCCTGAGCTAAACATCCAGCTTCCCTGTTCACTACCAGATACAGCTGCATTTTTAAACACTTTCTTATTCTTTCCCACATATTGGCCTGTTCTTTCCTTATGGCTAACACCAGCAAAAACATCTTAAATTACCAGTAGAGTCCATTCTGATTAAACAATGAAGACACTACAAAGTCACAACACTGCAGAGCATTAGAATAAAGGTACCTTACAATTGATTTTCTAGGAATCAAGACTAAGAAGCATAAACCAGACTTTTCTACCCAAATTCAGGCCAGGGGAAAGGCTAGCACCACTAGCACTTTTGTTTGCAAGTTTCTGGCACAGCATTTCTCCCTCTGCATGCCATACTGTTGTAACAGTCCTTTTGAACAGTAACTTTCATGCTTGATTTACTTGATTTGATCAAAGCACTGTTAGAGCTGGCTACTCACTTCAAAGGCCTGTCATCCTGAGACGCATGAGTTTTGGGAGCCTCTGGTCCAATCAAGCTATCGGCTTCAGTATTTTCTGCAACAATCAAATAATGAGGAAGACTGATATTGTGCCCATTGTTCTTTGTTATCAGAAGTGTTTCACAGGTCAGTAAGACCTAAGAGAATTCACAAAAAGGACACTAAAAAGTTTCAATCCAAATGTAAAGTCAGGTGAACCTACTTGATCTCTCAATCCAGAGATCATCCCCTTGAACTGTTTCATCGTCGGAATCTTCGCTACTGGAATCGCTGGATTCCTTCCTGCTCTTCTTATTTTTCTTTTTCTTATACTTCTTCCTGTGATAAAGTCAGACAGACATACTATTTACCAAAATTTGCTTGGAATCATACTCAAATAATTAGTTTCTCAAGGTAACTTCTACTTATGGGAAGACTGGCTGGCTGTGTACAGATTGTTGTTTTATAGAAAACACCTTACAGCAAAGCCAAGACAACGTTACACCTTTCACAGAGCGTTAGAAAGTGGCTCTACACTTGCAGGGAGTTGTCTATGCTGCACGATTCTGTCGATTCAAAGAAAATCCATCAAATTAATATTACTTGTCAGCACTTGCAGCCTGAATTACCAGAGTGCTCAGACACCCTCAGAGCCTGTGAAGAAAGAGGAGCTGCTCTCCAGCCAAAGAAGCCAGAACTACACGCAGCAACCTGGGCACTTACTTTTTGCTCTTCTTTTTCCTCTTCTTGCTTTTCTTTTTATCTTCATCTGAAAAGAAATAAAGTATATCATTAGCAAAAAGAGATGATTAGCTATAACTAAGTAGTTTACTGTACTGAACTGCCTCCACCAGAATGCCCTAGTACACACACAGCTTCTCAGACATGACTGTTTAGATATCAAGCAGTACTAAGAAAGCATTAGTAGAAAGCTACCTGCAGTATTGATGAATATGAGAACATCTCAAACAGATCTCTATGATGAGATACCCAATGGATGCTTAACTCAGAAATCCCATTTCCTGAGGCCAGACCTCAAGCACTCAAGGAAAAGGCACTACAAACTCAGCAAGATGGTGAAAGAAAAGACCATGGATTAATTGATGCTGCAGCTCTGTAACTTCAGAACACTGCAAGCATGCAATAAAAGCCAGAAGTGTCAGTTTGTGTTCAGCCCTCACACACCAGCCAAAACCCTCCTGTCTTACCACTGGAGTTCTGCTCAGACTCCGACTCACTGTCGCTGTCCTCAGAATGTTTTCTGCGCTTTCTTTTGGATGCCTTACGTTTTTTCTTGTTTCTTTTTTTCTTCTTTTTCTTCTTTTCCTCTAGAATGTTTTGAAAATATAACATTAGAGATCAATCAACTAGCTCCATATGTACTTCCCAATCTTCCCAAGGTAATGCTCTCCTTTGAACTGGAGCCCACTCACTTCGAGCCGTCAAAACCAGTAACCCTCCAGCAAGTAACTGCAGCAGATTCTAGACTTCAATAGCTTCCCATTTTCAAAACAAGCTGGGTAAGCCAAACAAAATACCTTCTGAGCTGGAATCCGAAGAACTACTCTTCGATTTTGCCTCTTCATCTTCTACTGGTGTATGCTCATCAGAACTGAATAAAAAGAACAGTTTGCTATTTAAGATCTATTTTGTAGTAGATCAAAGATACACATATGACCAAAGGCTTGCAGGTTTTGAGTCAATACTTGCAAAGAAGTAAACTATTAAAGGGTTGATTTTCAGCATGGGAACTGCTTTCAGAACCACAACACAAAGGTCACAATATCTGTAGATCAATTTATTGATCTACAATAAATCACATGTTGGAATTACCTGGGGGGAAAAAACTAATAATCTCATATTATGTTGATTCAGAAGTTAACTGATACAACAAGAATTGTGGCAATGGGACTAGCGCAGGGATAAGGCATTTTTGTAAATTAAACTAACATAAAAAACTGAAGAAAAGAAAAAGAATAAGCCTTACTCGGGGTCAGGAACCTTTGGTGACAGCCCCCAGACTTCAGGTGCCCCCAGCTCTCCAATTCTCTCTCTCTCATTGAGTCTCCTGTAAAGGAAAACACCTTCACTGAACCCTTGCGTGCCACACCCAGTACATAAACACTTTAAATTTAGTACTTGTCACCACTGTTAATCGCAGTACGGAAAAGAAAAAAACAGGCGCAAGGAGCCAACTCCCAGGCTGCGGGGCTGGCAAAGTGCCCGCCCCCCCCGCAGAGGTGTTACCCCCTCCCAGCCGAGCCCCGGCTCAGTCCTGCCCGCGGACACGGCCGGGGGAGCGTCCGGAGGGGCCGAGACCCGTGGCCAGGCCGTGCAGCGCCGGGCCCGCCGCCCTCCCACAGCACCCCCAGACCCCGCCGGCAACCGGCAGGACAGCCCCGACCCGGCCCAGCGCTTGCCTCTGCCGTAAGATCTCCTCCTTCTCCTTCTCGTAGTACTCGGGCCAGCCCTTGCCGTGGTGGTGGTGCCCGTGGTGCGCGGCGGAGCGCGGCGGGCCGGGGCTGCGCGACCGCGACCGGCTGCGGCTCCGCCGGTGGCTCGGGCGCCTCGGGACGTTGCGCTCGCGGGAGCGGGATCGGGATCGGGATCGGGATCGGCGGGCGCGGCGCTCGGGGCTGGCGGCGGGCGGGGAGCGGGAGCGGGACACGGGCGCCATGGCGGCGAAGGGGCAGGGAAGCCGCTTCCGGCAGCTTCCGGCCACTTCCGGCACCTCCCGGCCGGGCGAGCGCGGGGCGGCCCCGCCCGCGGGGTCACCGCCCCTCCGGCGCGGGCGGCACCGGCGGCACCGGCGGCTCCCTTTGTGCCGCCCGGCAGCGACGGACGCGCGGACAACGGCGGCGGCAGGTGAGGCGGCGGCGGGGGGCGCGGGGGCGACGGGGGGCGCGGGGGCGGCGGGTACCGGCGCGGGGCCGCGGCCCCGGGAGCTCTCTAGGGCGGCCCGGGAGCAGCACTGCCCCGCGGACAGCTCACCCTGCCCCGTCGGGGCTCGCCTTCCCCGCCCGGGCCCGACACTGTCACGGTCCGGTTGGGAGTGTTGGAAATCCGGCGGCTCCCGGCGCGGCCTGATACGGCAGCGTGTCAGGGGAGCACTGACAGGGCGAGGGGAAACGGCCTCAAGCGGCGCCAGGGCAGGTTTAGATTGGATATTAGGGAAATTTTTTTCACGGAAAGGGTTGTAAAGCATTGGAACACGCTGCCCAGGGAAGCGATGGAGGCACCATCCCTGGAAGTGTTCATAAAACGTGTAGCACTTGAGGTCGTGGTTTAATGGTGGTACTGGGTTGATGGTTGGACTTGATACGACCCGCCCCAGAAGGGGAGGGTAACCCAGGTTCTTGTTAATAAATCCCTTGGGGTGGATTAAAGTGAAACGACACTGAATGATCGGTGTTTGTAAATATATATGTAGGGTTTATTTTAGAGCAGTTTTGTTTCAAAGGAAAACAGGTGTGTAGCCGTTTTGCTTCTTATCATCTAAAGTAATACAGCAATATTAAAGCATAAAAGTAACACTTAAGGAAATTTATAAGGAAGAGAAAGAAAGGATAAAAATGGAAAGATATATGTTGTCACCACTCGCTGGATCCAGCGATGAAACTTGGTAGTTGCACCTTCAATGTTCTGTTGGTTGAAGATGGTGGTCGCAGTCCTGTCCAAGTGATGGTCTTGATCAGTTGGGGGAAGCCCCCTCCTCCCCTCAAAACTCAAAGATCTCATGAGTTACATACATTCGGGCTCAGGTGGGAACGCCTAGTACCTCCCGTGGGGCGGGGAGTCACGGGACACGTCATGAGATGGAGAATGCTTCTTTGTCTCTCAGATTTGTCAGATCTTTAAAAACGTTCTGTTCTCTCAAACTGGAATTTTTAAAAACAAGAGAGCTCCTTAAACTGCTTAACTGAAAACTTGTCAGTGAAATGCGTATTTTTTTGTCTTCTCACAAAAGCCTGACATCACTTCTTTAAATTTGTACTTCATATTTTCAGAGGCTCAATCCTAGAGTTTTTTTGATCACTTCTATACAACAAAATAAAAGTTGCCATTGTGTCTCTTAGCTATTTTTTCAGTTCCAAGAATAGCACGTTTAGTTCTATGTTTTAGATGTTTCTTATTAGTATCTCAGATAAAATGGTTCTTTTAAATTGTCACTTTATAAGTGTTGATGTGACTTGAATCACCTGACACTTTATAATCTTATCTAAAAATAAAAGAGGAAAAAACAACCCCAGAACTAAAAATTGCATGCTAGACAAAAAAATATGAATGTTGAAATTCTGCATTCAAGTGCAGGAGGACTGAGTGGCAGCTTTGGTCAGATTTAAGCTGCTCAGAGCATTAGCTCTGTTCTGGCCACAGCAAGGTGACAGTGGGGTTCAGATTTGTATCTGATAAAAGAAGTTGACATAGAGAGAAGCTTTTCCAAATAAGGTAAAAGTCAAGGAGGTGGTGCAGCTCTCCCAGCTAGACCATCAGCTTTTAAATCAGCCAGTATTTCTGTGCCTAAGGGTAAGCAGTTCAAACCTGATTTCTGAGAACTGGTGATGCCTCAGGAGCAGGGCTCCTTCCAACCCAGTGCTCATCTTTAGCTGTAAATTCTCCTGTTCGTTGTTTAAGAATGGGATAGGCAATTAGGAGAAAACTCCTTAAAACTGGAGGATGAAAGGCTAAGAAGTGGTTTAATTTGGGCCATCACACATTTTTGGAGGAGAAAAAAGAACACTGGAATAAGAATTAAAACAATTATAGTATTATTTTCATTTAATATATCCACCTGTGTAAAAATTATTAAGAACCTGGATCAAAGGAGAAAACTTAATTGAAGGGTTATATGAGGAAGAAAAGCCTACCTTTTCCCCAATTATTCTTTTCTGTTATTTATTCTCCTCCATTTGACTCTCTGGTAAAAGCTATAAATAAACAGAAACCGGTTTATAACATTTCAGATATGAGAGCTTGCTTCCAAAAGGCACTAACTATACAAACACTACTAACTGTACAAATATAGGGAGGCTGGCAGTGATTTTCTTGCTAGAAGGGCTCATATACTGGGGCAGGATCATTTCATTGCTGATATATGTAGTGTGAGGGATTGCAGCTGTTTCTGCCAGTGACTGTGGCCTGTTCATGTTTTGGGTCGAACTTCACAGGAGGACATTTGTTCTTGTCAAAGTTTTTAAATCTTAAAGAAAAATAGGAACCCCTGTGGTTCAAGTCCACAAAAACCATAGGAAAAAAAAAATGGAACAGATCAGTAACTGAAGATGAAAAATATCTTTTATGATCTCGGCGCTCTTTGAGCGTTCCAGAACAGCGACAGTTTCCAAGAGGCCGCATTGTGGATGTGTCGCTTTGATGGCCACATGTCAAACCTGGAACCTGTCGCGCCTTTTCTCAAAGATACTTTGTGCGGAGGCCATGCACGTCTGCACAGCTGCCAGCGGGGCCCAAGACATGCCAGCGAGGTGCAAAGAGCACCAAACCAACGCTCCTGCAGCGCAGGCAGGGGTGCCCAGGGTCGGATTATACAGGGGTGCCCAGGGTGGGGTTATACAGGGGTGCCCAGGGTCCAATTATACAGGGGTGCCCAGAGCTGGGTTACAGGGGTGCCCAGGGTTGGATTATACAGGGGTACCCAGGGTGGGGTCACAGCAGTGCCCAGAGCTGGGCTACAGGGGTGTTCAGGGTCTGATTATATGGGGGTGCCGAGGCCGGGTTATACAGCGGTGCCAGGCCGGGTTATCCAGCAGTGCCCAGGCCGGGTTATCCAGCGGTGCCCAGGCTGGGTTATACAGCAGTGCCAGGTCGGGTTATACAGTGGTGCCAGGCCGGGTTATCCAGCGGTGCCCAGGCT